GCCCCTTCCGCTTACCCCGCTGGACCTCTAGGTTGAAAAATCGTCAATGCAAGTGAATGAGAGAAAATAATTATTTTCTAATCCCGTTTGAATTTTGCAATGAATGTGAACATATGTTGTCTGTGAATTTTTTATATAATTTTTTGTGTAAAGAATGCTACAATTTAGCTGGTAGAATTTTCATACGGTTAGACTTTGTGTGAGAGCACTTTGTGGACTACAACTCTTCACTGCTTTTTTTTTATTTACGTCACCACCACTAGCACACGGATCCCGCTAAACATGCCTTTGTTTGAATGGTGACATTTGGGTACAAAACACACAGGCATCTCGATCTAATTCCTTAGATTATCGCACCGTGATTTGTGGAGGGAAAATGTGTTATGCGGTGACGTCACATATGCGACGTGTAGTCTTTCTCGTTATGTCTGCTAGCCAAAGAATCATACAATATACTGTCAAACTCGTTACATGAGAAATTATATAAAAAATTCACAGACAACATATGTTCACATTCATGCCACAATTCAAATGGGATCAGAAAATAATTATTTTCTCTCATTCACTTGCATTGACGCTTTTTCAACCTAGAGGTCCACTTGGAGTTTTACAGATGGGCGGGACTTACCAGCTCTATAGCGACTGCTCAAAACAACTGCCTAGCAACACCCTAGTAACTAACCAGAACACCCTGCCTACTGTCTAGTAAGTGCCTAGCAATCACTCAGAACACCCTAGTAATGCCGCAGTAAGTGCCTATAGGCCTATAACGTTATCTAGAAAGACATTTGTAATGTTGTAGAAACCACTCTAAATACTTTAGCAGCTGCCTAACAACACCCTAGTAACTACCTTGAACACCCTGGCAATTTAGTAAGTGCCTAGCGACCATTTAGAACACTCTAGCAATGCCTTACCCAGAATATCCAGCCAGAAGGCACTTGCAATGCTGTAGCAACCACTCAAATCACTTTAGCAACACCCTAGTAACACCCTGAGCAACCACTCAGAACACCCTACTAACACCTTACCCAGAAAAAAGCCAGAATGCTGTAGCAACCACTCAAAACACTTTAGCAACACCCTAGTAACACCCTGAGCAACCACTCAGAACACCCTAGTAACACCTTACCCAGAAAAAAGCCAGAATGCTGTAGCAACCACTCAAAACACTTTAGCAACACCCTAGTAACACCCTGAGCAACCACTCAGAACACCCTAGTAACACCTTACCCAGAAAAAAGCCAGAATGCTGTAGCAACCACTCAAAACACTTTAGCAACACCCTAGTAACACCCTGAGCAACCACTCAGAACACCCTAGTAACACCTTACCCAGAAAAAAGCCAGAATGCTGTAGCAACCACTCAAAACACTTTAGCAACACCCTAGTAACACCCTGACAACTCTGAGCAACCACTCAGAACACCATACTAACACCTTACCCAGAAAAAACAGCCAGAATGCTGTAACAGCTAAAAAAACTTAGCAACCATTCAAAACACTTTTGCAACACCCTAGTAACTACACAGTAACACCTGGCTACTGTCTAGTAAGTGCCTAGCAGCACTCAGATCATGCTTGTTATACCTTACTTGGAAAAAAACTGCCAGAAGACATTTGTAATGTTGTAGAAACAATTTAAAACACGTTAGCAACTGCCTACCAACACCCTAGTTACTACCTAACACACCCTGACAAATGAGTAAGTGCCTAGCGACCATTTAGAACACCCTAGCAATGCCTTACCCAGAAAATCCAGCCAGAAGGGACTTGCAATGCTGTAGCAACCACTCAAATCACTTTAGCATCCTCATAGCAACACCCTAGTTATTAGCCTGAACACCTTGGCAACTGTCTAGTAAGTGCATAGAAACCACTCAGAACACCCTAGTAATGCCTTACAGCCAGAAGACACTTGTAATGCCATTAAAACCACAAACATTTTAGCAACTTAATAGCAACACCCTAGTAACCATCCAGAAGACCATAACAACTACTCAGAGCAACTCCAGCATTTAAACTATGTATTATATTCCATGTATTAAGTAGCCAGACAGCTATAGCAATTAACTTCATATTTTACAACTATTATTTACTTGCCAGAGCTATTTTTTCTCACGTTTGGTGCTTGGTGAGTGTTAATTTTAATTTGTGGGCTGTGTGTGTGTGTGTGTTAAGGAGGGCGGTCGACCTGACACACTCTAAAATAAATGCTCTTGCAAGTTCAGACATCCACCTGCATAAAACACACACACACACACACACATGCAGCACGGCATACGAATGCTGGAATGTAAACAAAAACGCTTGGTTTTGTGTGTGTGATTAATGTTTGTGTATGTTTATGTCTGGATTTAGACGGGCTTCTATGGTCATTTGCAGTGACCTTTCACACTGCCAAAAATAAGATGATCCTCTTTGATTTCCCACAGTATTCCAGGAGCTTGAAGACTCTTGCGAAGGAACCGTGTGTGTGGAGGCCATTAGAACTGATGATGTAATCGGGAGAAGGCCGCTGATTGGTTCAGTCAGATCCAACAACTTCTTGACTGTTTTTTTAAGCTGTGTCTGTGATGTCACTGTCACTGTGAAATCACTTCCCCTCCATGCTAATGTCAGTATATAATTCTTATTTGCATATAATTATGAATGAAACTGCATGCTTAAACATAAGAAAATTAATTCAACGTCAGTAAATTAGTTGGACCAACATGAGAAAATGTAGTTTGACGAATGCAATAAAGTTAAACGTGTAATAAAGTTAAACATAACTGAGTAAACCAAGTGGACCTAAACCAACTAAATTATGTTGACCCAACTAAACAGATTTTTTTTAATTAGCTAAATTAAAAACTTTGGTAACATTTTACTTAAAGCCTTTATGTATTTATGTTAAAGCCATTATAAAAGTATTTCTAATGCATTAATTATGCCTTGTAATGCGCCTCTTAATGCATTGTATAGTCTTATGAATAACTGTAACTGCAGTTATAATACGTTATCTAATCAATTAACACACTTTTATAACGTATAATACATTACAACACATGATAAACAACCAATTTCAAGATCTGCAAATATTATAATCCATTTATAATGCAATTTAACGTTGGTTACAGTTATTTATAAAAATATATAATGCATGATAATGTGCTTTATGAATATTATAATGCATCATACATAAGGGCTTCTTCAGTTATGTTAAGTAAACACACACTTTTTTTTGATTTCTTATTTGCATATAATTATGGATGAAACTGCATGTTTAAACATGTATTAAACCTCAGTAAATTAGTTGGACCAACATGAGAATATGTAGTTTGACGAATGCAATAAAGTTAAACATAACTGAGTAAACCAAGTGGACCTAAACCAACTAGATTCTGTTGACCCAACTAAACTGATTTATTATGAATCGGCTAAATTAAAAACTTTCTTCAGTTATGTAAAGAAAGGGTAATGAATAGCCTGTTAGATTGAAACTAACTCTGTGATCCAGTCTCTCGTCCTTCATGTTTGAAACGGGACAGATGCGTATGACGGATGTGTGCGTGAGTCTGTCACCTCATCATCGTTTGTCATGAGTGTTTCCTCTCCTCCTCTTCCTCCTCCTGTCGTTCCCCGAGTCCCAGCGCTGCGGTGGAGCAGAGGAGCCGAACGCATGTCCCTTCCGGGCCCCTGTAGCCGTCTCTCTCTCTCTCTCAGTCTCCAGTAACTTCCAGTAAAGCCATCAGAACGTCCCTGTGACGTGGTTAAAGATGGCGGCTCGGTTGGCATTGGTTGGCACAGAGAGGCAGCCTGGCATCACTGCAGGCCATGACAATCAGCTCCAGGCACTGACAAGCCTGTTGCTTAGCAACCCTATTGAACTTTGGCCTGCTTTACTGTGTTTCCAACGAGAGAGAGAGAGAGACCTTCATTTAGACCATAACGGGTTTGTGTATTATGATCATAGTGCGCATGGGTTTATAAAAAAAAAAAAGCTCTTCTGGGATATTTAACACTCTCAAAAAAACTAAAATGTATATATATTTCTAATCCAATATTATATATTTCACTTTTGAAAACTTTTTTTCACCCCTAAAAATGTAAACAGTGGCCTTATAGATGCTAATGGCATGATACATTAATATATACCATTTGACTGAATGATTACCTTGGTATTTATAAGGTGATTCAAATAATACCATCATGAAAAAGACCAAAAACATGACAGACAACTACAATTTTTGACTTTTTTAACAATTGTTAAATATTATTTCACTTTTGAATGTTTGAATGATGTTTTACCCCTAAGAATGAATGCGTTGTAAGCAAATGCAAAAGCGAAATAATATTTCACAGTTTTTTTTTTTAGGAAATTTGAAGAAATATATATTTGAAATTTAATATATTTTATTTTAATATATTTTCCTTAATTTTTATATTTTTTATTATTTTAAATATTTTATTTCCAGTCAATTTATTTAGTTTAATGTTTTCTTTTTCTTTTGTTATTTCTATTTTTTTTTAATATATAAAAATATTTACTTTATTTATTTTTACAATTTCGGTTTCATTTATTTTTATATAATTTTAAACTTTTTTAATGTTTTTTCATATTTCCAGTTAATTTATTTATTTGCATATTTTATTTAATTTCCATTTATTTTATTTTGTTTTTTATTTCATTTCATTTAAAAGCATTTACTTAATGTTTTTATTTTTTGCATTTCTTTTGTATTTTATATTTTATTATTTTTTACTTTTATTTATTTATAATTTTTCATATTTCCAGTAAATTTTTTTTTTTTTACATTTTATTATTTAATTGAATTTAATTTATTCACAGTAGTCTGAATGGGAATAGTGTTTTCTGTCAGCTGTGTTCTGGTCCAAATCAAACACACTCCTGAATCTCTGGCAGCCTGTTGCAAGAGCCGTCGCTTGTGGAGAAACCAGCAGATCCAAACCTCTATTTATACACACCAGATCGTTCGCACTCGTTCGTTAAGATCGTTCGCACTCGTTCGTTAAGTCTGTCTTGCTCGATCTGTCCAAGCACATGTCCAGGAATCCCATTTCTTTGTCTGTGTTTTAACACCAGAGAATTGAAACATGCACATGATGCTTTCAATTAACCTTTTGGATTATTAGTTCAAAACTAACATCCTATTTGATTAGAGCTATTTTAGAGCTGTGCAGTGTGTGTGTGTGTGTTTGAAGAGAGTGGGCTAATGGTTTTAATAACATTTACGAGAGCTTTGGTATTTCCCCTACAGCTGCATTCATTCTCTGCAAAGTGCCAACCGCGTTCTGGACGTGAAGAGAGAAAAAAGTGGCTTTAAACAAAACAGATGTGTCTCTACTACAGCAGGTTAGTGTGTGTGTGTGTGTGTGTGTGTGTGGAAAAACTCTAAACCAATGCAAGAAAGAGGGAATCTGACTCCCTGCAGCTGCTCCAGTGCAGATCAATGGAAGCTTTTTCTCAGAATCTAAACTGCAACTGTGAGAGAAAAAAAGTCAGAATTTATACAAATAAAAAAGGTAATAACTTCATCTTACAATTGTGATTTCTTTCTCATATTTCTAGGGGGAAAAAAACCCAGAAGTGTGAGATGTAAGCTTGCACCTACGAGTTTATTACTTGCAATTGCAATATAAACTCACAACTGTGAGAAACAAAGTCATAATTGTAAGAATAACAGTAAAAAAAAATGTTTATTTTTATTGCAAGTTTATTGCAAACTTCATCTTACAATTGTGACTTTTTATCTCATAATTCTGGGGGGAAAAATCATAAGTGTGAGCAATTACGAGTTTATTACTTGCAACGCGAGATATAAACTCGCAACTGTGAGAGAAAACAGTCCGAATTGTGAGAATAACAGTACAAATAAAAAGGTAATTGCAAACTTCATCTTACATGTGTGTGAGGAAAGTGTGAGATGGAATCTTGCAATTACAGGTTTTAACTTGCAACCGCGAGATATAAACTCGCAACTATGAGAAAATTGTGAGATAAAAAGTTGTAATGACCTTTTTTTCTTAGTTTTTGTTCTGTGGCGGAAACAAGCCAGATCAGCATAGATCCGAGAGTCAGTCGCACCTGTGTTGCCACGGTGATGATTGACAGCTCGCAGGATGACACTGACAGAGACATAAGGACATGCATGTAGAGAGAGAGATATTGGTGCCACACACACTCAAACTCCAGCGTTTGATCTCTGTGCCATCGTGAAAACCTGCAGGGATTTAAAGAGAGTTTTATTCCTGAACAGACCTGGGAATCATGGAAGGAAACTGACTCATTTGGTTTGATGTCTTGAGCAGTGAATCATGGGTACTGGAACTGAGCAGCTGGAGGTCTCGTGGAAAGAGTCGTGCTTTAAGATGCTTTGATCTGCATTATTCTTCAAAAACAGTATTTACCAAACGCTTTTCATTCTGAAAGCTCAAAGCACGAGTAATGTTCCCCAAAACACTGATATTTATTAATTGCATGTGACAAACAAGCAAAGAAAACATTTTTTGCTTATTAAAATGTACCCGTATTTACAATTTGTTTTCATTTAAGTGCGTTGACATTATATTCGGAAATTAAACTGCACTTTTGAAAATGTATTTTCATTGAATAACATTTAAACGTTTCATTTTATTTTTGACAGTTTCAAAAACAAAAGTTTGTCGGGACAAACTGTTATGTTGGCTTGACAATGCCTTGTCCGAGAGTTTGAAAGTTTATAAGCTTCCTAGCATATTTTATCATGTTGTTAAGCATGTTTTAGCACATTGCTAGCTTGACTTAGCACATTGCTAGCATGATTTAACGTGCTGCTATCATGAATTGGCACATTGCTAGCTTGATTTAACACGCTGCTGGTATGTTTTAACACATTGCTAGCATGAATTAGCATGTTGCTAGCATATTTTAACATTGCTAACATGATTTAGCTTGCAGTTAGCACATCGTTAGTATGAATTAGCATGCTGCTATCATAATTTAACATGCTGCATGTATTTAACATAATGCATTGTTTTAGCACGTTGTTATTATGAATTAGCATGTTGCTAACATAATTTAGCTTGCTGTCAACAGGTTTTAACATGTTGCCAACATGATTTAGCTTGCTGTTAGCACATCGCTAGTATGAATTACATGTTTAACATGATGCCTTGTTTTAGCACGTTGTTATTAGGAATTAGCATGTTGCTAATATAATTTAGCTTGCTGTTAACATGTTGCTAAGATGATTTAGCACATTGCTACCATGAATTAGCATGTTGCTAGCATATTTTAACATTGTTAACATGACTTAGCTTGCAGTTAGCACATCGCTAGTATGAATTAGCATGCTGCTATCATAATTTAACATGCTGTCTGTATTTAACATAATGCATTGTTTTAGCACGTTGTTATTATAATTTAGCATGTAGCACTAACATAATTTAGCTTGCTGTCAACAGGTTTTAACATGTTGCCAACATGATTTAGCTTGCTGTTAGCACATCGCTAGTATGAATTACATGTTTAACATGATGCATTGTTTTAGCACGTTGTTATTATGAATTAGCATGTTGCTAATATAATTTAGCTTGCTGTTAACATGTTGTTAAAATGATTTAGCACATTGCTACCATGAATTAGCATGTTTCTGGCATGTTTTTTTTTCATGTTGTCCGTAAGTCCGATCACTCTCAGAAGAATAACCTTAAATATGATTTCTGTACGTTGTTTTTGTCAAGCCAACATATTGGTGTTTCATATTTGCATTTGCTGTGCATCCAAAATACGACATGCGTTTGTAATATTAGCCAGATTCTTGCATTTCTGAAATGCTTTGTTTTTTTTTAAGGGCCCCACTGTCACTCTGCGGCCCCTAAATATTTGGACATGCCGTTTGATTAACTGTCGCTGTTTTCACAGTCAGAGTCTTTCTCTTTTTTTCCAGTGACCTTCCAGCTTCAGTTTTGCTCTTGCTGTTTTCCCTCCACAAAGCCAAACAATCAGCTCCGCTCAGGAACCGCAGACGGACCGTCTAAACGCGAAGCCGAGTGCAAGTCATTAGCGTCCCGCTGGGCTCCGCGCAGGTCTTGAACTGACACCAAACGTCCCGACAGACCCGCGTCGAAACCGCTCAGTCTTTCCCAGACTGCAGCAAATTCTCAAGGTGATTTTTCTGTCTTCTGGCTTGGTTTAGTCAAGAGTTTGGGCCTCCTGTTGAGTCATTAATAGATTAGCATTCATTCTGGAAACAATGAGGCACAGAATCATAGCGGTATAGAAACTAGAGTCCTATGTTTTTAAAGAAAATATGAGTGGTGGTTCCTGATGTCAAACTCTTTGCCACAGTGCTAGGATATTGTGGTTGCCAGGACTGGGTTACTAAAACCATAAAACTGTTCTCCTTGTATAGAATCTTTGTGGCATAAAGCGTTCTTTAGAATTGAGTCAAGAACCCTAGAGTTCAATATAGAACCCCATTGAATCTTTCTGGCATCAAAGTTCTTTAAACTTGAGTCAAGAACCGTATAGTTTTATATAGAGCCTCGCTGAACCTTTTTTGGCATTAAAGTTCTTTTAAATTGAGTCAAGAACCCTAGACTTCTATATAGAACCTCACTGAACTTTTCTGGCATAAACGTTCTTTAAAATTGAGTCAAGAACCCTAGCGTTCTATATAGAACCACATTGGACCTTTTTGGAATAAAGTTTCTTTAAATTGAGTCAAGAACCCTAGAGTTCTATATAGAGCCGCATTAAACCTTTCTGGCATAAAGGTTCTTTAGAATTGAGTCAAGAACCCTAGAGTTCTATATAGAACCCCATTGAATCTTTTTGGCATAAAAGTTCTTTAAACTTGAGTCAAGAACTGTATAGTTTTATATAGAACCTCGCTGAACCTTTTTGGAATAAAAGTTCTTTTAAATTGAGTCAAGAACCCTAGAGTTCTATATAGAACCTCACTGAACTTTTCTGGCATAAAGGTTCTTTAGAATTGAGTCAAGAACCCCAGAGTTCTATATAGAGCCGCATTAAATCTTTCTGGCACAAAGGTTCTTTAAAATTGAGTCAAGAACCCTAGAGTTCTATATAGAGCCGCACTAAACCTTTCTGGCATAAAGGTTCTTTTAAATTGAGTCAAGAACCCTAGAGTTCTATATAGAGCCGCATTAAACCTTTCTGGCATAAAGGTTCTTTAGAATTGAGTCAAGAACCCTAGAGTTCTATATAGAGCCGCATTAAAACCTTTCTGGCATAAAGGTTCTTTAGAATTTAGTCAAGAACCCTAGAGTTCTATTTAGAGCCGCATTAAACCTTTCTGGCATAAAGGTTCTTTAAAATTGAGTCAAGAACCCTAGAGTTCTATATAGAGCCGCATTAAACCTTTCTGGCATAAAGGTTCTTTAAAATTGAGTCAAGAACCCTAGAGTTCTATATAGAACCTCACTGAACTTTTCTGGCATAAAAGTTCTTTAAACTTGAGTCAAGAACTGAATAGTTTTATATAGAACCTCGCTGAACCTTTTTGGCATAAAAGTTCTTTTAAATTGAGTCAAGAACCCCAGAGTTCTATATAGAACCCCATTAAACCTTTCTGGCATAAAGGTTCTTTAAAATTGAGTCAAGAACCCTAGAGTTCTATATAGAGCCGCATTAAACCTTTCTGGCATAAAGGTTCTTTAGAATTGAGTCAAGAACCCTAGAGTTCTATATAGAACCGTATTGAATCTTTTTGGCATAAAAGTTCTTTAAACTTGAGTCAAGAACTGTATAGTTTTATATAGAACCTCACTGAACTTTTCTGGCATAAAGGTTCTTTAGAATTGAGTCAAGAACCCCAGAGTTTTATATAGAGCCGCATTAAATCTTTCTGGCACAAAGGTTCTTTAAAATTGAGACAAGAACCCTAGAGTTCTATATAGAGCCGCACTAAACCTTTCTGGCATAAAGGTTCTTTAAAATTGAGTCAAGAACCCTAGAGTTCTATATAGAACCTCACTGAACTTTTCTGGCATAAAGGTTCTTTAAAGTTGAGTCAAGAACCCTAGAGTTTTATATAGAACCCCATTAAACCTTTCTGGCACAAAGGTTCTTTAAAATTGAGTCAAGAACCCTAGAGTTCTATATAGAGCCGCATTAAAACCTTTCTGGCATAAAGGTTCTTTAAAATTGAGTCAAGAACCCTAGAGTTCTATATAGAGCCGCATTAAAACCTTTCTGGCATAAAGGTTCTTTAAAATTGAGTCAAGAACCCTAGAGTTCTATATAGAACCTCACTGAACTTTTCTGGATTAAAGGTTCTTTAAAGTTGAGTCAAGAACCCTAGAGTTCTATATAGAGCCGCATTAAAACCTTTCTGGCATAAAGGTTCTTTTAAATTGAGTCAAGAACCCTAGAGTTCTATATAGAGCCGCATTAAAACCTTTCTGGCATAAAGGTTCTTTAGAATTTAGTCAAGAACCCTAGAGTTCTATATAGAGCCGCATTAAACCTTTCTGGCACAAAGGTTCTTTAAAATTGAGTCAAGAACCCTAGAGTTCTATATAGAGCCGCATTAAACCTTTCTGGCACAAAGGTTCTTTAAAATTGAGTCAAGAACCCTAGAGTTCTATATAGAGCCGCACTAAACCTTTCTGGCATAAATGTTCTTTTAAATTGAGTCAAGAACCCTAGAGTTCTATATAGAACTGCATTAAATCTTTCTTCTAAGAGTGTAGATGCCATGACTGTAGGTCAGTGTCCTCTTTCTCTGTCTGTCATTCTCTCACACCTGCATTAGTGCCACTGCTCAGTAAAACACATTCCCAGTTTCATGTGGCGTTTTTCCACAGATGTGACGGCCCTAAGAGGAAGTAATTGCATGTGTGTGTGTGTGTGTGTGCTGTACATTCCTGCACCTGTGTGCTGGTGTGTGTGTTTATTGGAAAGGCGGTAGAGATATAATTGGAAGTGTTGGGCTCTCTGGCGGTTCCCTGCGGCTCAAACCCTTGGCGGGGGAAGAAACGGGGCTGTGGACAGATCAGGGGCTTTAGGGTTTCGCACGGGGGGGTTACTTACAGGGGCAGAAATTGGTCCCAGCTGTCAAGTCAAAGCTCAAGGAACTGCCCGACAAACACTGTCACGTATTCAACTACGGCTCACAGGTACAGTTGTCAGGTGTTTTTCAGTGTTAAAGTAAATATTCCGATCCCACACTGTTGAAAATATCCTGTTAAATTTATGGTAAAAAAAAAAAAACCTTGCCAGATGTTGTTGCACAGTATTTTGGTGCCTATATATTTTGCAATTTGGTTATATAACTGTATTGAAAAATAGCTGCACTGTATACCTTCAAGAGGCCATTATGCCCTTTTTGAGTCTTGATTGTGTGTTTTAGTCTCTACTAGAACAGGTTTTCCCGCTTGAATGTTGATTATTTTCCTCATATTCTCCATTGTTGCGGCTCCTCTCTTCCCAGTCTGGCAGTAACGCTCTGTTTACTTCCTGTCTCTATGAAGCCCCTCCTTCTGAAAAGCACACTGTGCTCTGATTGGTCGGCTGGATCAGTGTGCTGTGATTGGTCGAGCGTTTCGAGTGTGTTTGGGAAATGTCCCGCCTCTTTCCATAACCACCAGTTTAACACACTACTAACTAACTCAACCAGGCCCCGCCCCTTTAATCTGCGTATGAATTATTATAATGAGGAATATTGTGACGTGTTCGTTCCCGGAAGAAACTCGAGACTACAATGGAGGCGTTTCAGGAGTTCAGAAACACTGACACTGATATACAGAAGAACTGCCGCTGAAGGGACTTTGTGCTTTGGACTACATCATAATTAATATTGATTAACAAGTGATTGGCAGAATGTCTAGATGACCTCAATAAATATGACATAATTTCCTCAGCTATATGTGTGTGTGTGTGTGGGCCCTGTGTCCATGGGATTATTGTCATTATTATGATTATTATAGGCTTTGGACATGCCAGAGCAGTTCAATGAGCCTCACCACACATTCCAGCATCCATTCAGATTCATTTGGCTTCTTCAAATAAATATTTATCAGTCAGAGTGGGCGAACGCTTCGTTAGGCTTGATAATTCCTGGCGCGTTGGGCAGAGACGGGGCAGGAGGGGTTCTGGCGCAGGACGTCCTTCAGGGGTCGATGGACCAAAGCTCAGGCACTCGACGCGTGGAGGAGAGACACCAGAGTTTGAGTTTAACAGCCCGAGCTCCTGAATGTCTCAGTTGTTTCTCATAAGCCCCTTTCACACAGTGCGTTGATCTCGGGAAATTGCCAGAACGCCTTGTGTGTGAACGCAAACACGACCCGGGATCGATGCCGGGTTGGGGATCTAGTAACAAAAGCTGTGTTCAGTCCGGGAACGTGCGCTGTGTGAACAAATGCCGTAATCAATGCCGTGTCGTAATGATGACGCTGAAGCCGGGATCGTTCGCCAGCGAGTGAAACAGTACGTAATGCGCTAGTTTATCATCGAATCAGAGAAAGAAATGGACAAGCGCAAGCTTCAGACTCTGCTGAGACATTGTCACATCAATGTCACGTGTCTTTACGGGATTTTTACGGGTTGTGTGTGAACGCACTCTCTGATTCCGGAAAATCACTGGCAGTGTGAATGAACCAAAATCAAACGAACCCGGGTCGAATCCCGGGTCACTTTATCCGTGTATTTTCCGGAAACTCTGTGTGAAAGGGGCTATATGGACCCTAATAATCTGATTGTAATCGGACCAGTCGCACAATCATAATAAAAAAGTAACAAGTAACCACGTCAATCTGAATGAATCGGCCAGATCTGATTTAAAATTTCATTTGGATTGTAAGTGGTTTATTCCTTTTCTAATCCGATCGAAAGGACATGTAAACACTTGATCGGATTGAAAACTGAAACTGAAAGGACTGCGCATGTGTAATGCCGTATGACGCGTTGTTCGCGCTGTCATTCTGAAATCCTCTTAGCACTCATCATCTTTGATCACCAAAATGACATTTTTAAATGTTTTCTCCTTGAACATGTCTTATGATATCTTGAATGTAACTCGACACCCTTGCCTCATTTAGCATTCGCTGTTCTATGAATATGCAAATGAGCCCCGCCTCCACTCACTCCCTCAGCTCAGAGATCCACTGGTTGACGATCACACGTTGATCTGATTGGTTACAAGGTCGTTTGTGACGTCAGAAACACCAGCGATTTCAAACCGTGTGTTTGAGACTGTCTTTGGTTCACTGCAGTTTTAAGCAGAAAATACTCAGCAATGCTGTCGACTTATGAATTACACATTGTCTTAAAGCGTATTAAAAACACCACATAGACACATAAACAACTGTGAAGGGGAGCGGGACAGTCCTCGCTTCAGACTCCACAGGATAAATGCAGGCAGCACGGCTCAACGGTTCATGTGCTCGTCGGTCCATAATTATCAGGACCCGAAATAGATCAATATTAAGTCTGCTTTTTAAAACAAAGAAAAGGAGGATGGTTAGTGTGCAACAACAGCGGGGAAGTCTGTATATTCGTGCAGTGTGCGTATGTCAAAAGATTAACTCCGATCAGAAGCTTGTGACATATAAACGCGCACATCAACCCGATCATTTTTTTAGCGTTCATGTAAACACTACGTTCGGATTCATCAATCGGAATTAATTAATTCAGATTGAAGCAAAAAGTGTCCATGTAAACGTAGCTATAGACAACAATGGGATCAAAAAGTCTCCTTTAGAGTGTCTCAAACTGGCTCCGATTTGCCAAGATACTGAAGGTCAGATCTCAAAAAACTATTTTTCCATTCAAACTTGTGCGCAAAATTGGAATATGGCATAAAACATTTGCGAATAAAACGGCGTTTCTGTCACGGTTCCTAAGTCTAGTTTGGACTTTTTGTGTCACGAGTTCTTTAGGTCAGTTCTGTTTGTGTTTCTCTGTCGGGTATCGATGTTACGTGTGTGTGTATAGCTCTCTCTGTTCAGATTTACCTTTATGCCTTTGGATTTATTAAAGCATTCGCTCTTCATCATCGTGTTCGAGTTTGATCATCTACACAACGTTGTGACCGTTCCCATCCCATGTGTTCAAGAGAACAAAATCGTCACTTCCTGGGAAACTGGTGTAAAATATCAGTAATAAACTGTGCGTTTCTGCACTCGGGCTGTTTTCCCTCCATCATAAACGAGTGTCTCAGAGCGTCAGACGAAACACAGTAAACGCTGTCATGTTCTCTGGCGTTCGGATGCTGGTGTTTGTGAACACACTCGTGTGTGTGAGACGCTTCTGGAGGGAATTACACCAAATCATTCTGATCACACACTTTGACTTTCAGAAACACCAAACCAACATTTGAGATGCTGCGATGCCATTGGTCCGCTGGTTACTCCAGTTATCCAATCACAGCCTCTCATGTGAGTTTCTTGCTGTGCATTGAGGGATTTTTTCGGTAAGTGTGTTTCCATAGTGGTTTATGTCTTCTGTAATCGCTCATAATCCTTCACTTTGTATGAGAGAAAGATCTGTGCTTACACAGAAATTCTGAGCATTTGGTGCAGTCAGACATTATAAAAAAAAATGCATTGTGCATTATTAGATAATCTGCTTAAAACATGATTTAAGTATATGCATGCATTGGTTTGGTGATTTTTTTTTTTTCTTTTTTTCTTCTTCAAGGAATCAAAGCCATGATGTTGCAGACCTTCAGCGATCCACTCATGTGAAATATCTCAAACGCAACATGACCTTTTTCTTCAAAGAGCCACAATTTAAACCAGAAGGCCTGCAAACCAGGTTAGTTCGAGGACGTGAAATATGAGGGTTTGCTAGACTAGTCATGTGGTGCTCAGGCGTTTATACTGTCAAAACCGCTCTGTATTTGCATTGTTTATAATATATGGTCTTAACATAGTCATGTATGTATTCTCACAGATTAAAGTCTTGTTTTAAATTAGTTTTCAATGTAATATATCGGGGTTATTATAGTTTACCAACTAAACTAAAACCATAAAAAAACACATTTTTGTTGCTTTAAATAAAGTAATCTTTAACTGAAATACAACCCCATTTCCAGAAAATTTGGGACATTTTGTCAAATGCAATTAAATCAATAATCTATGATTTGTTTATTTATTTAACTGGCAAAAGTACAAAGAAAAACATTTGCGATGTTTGCACTGACCAGTTTAAAGGTGCAGTGTAGGGGTGACCCCGAATAGTTGAAGATTCGATGCTTCGATAGGAGGAGCCTGATTCGACTACCAATCTCATGGTCGAATCTTCGCAGATGTGTTATTAAATGAGGATTATGTCATTTTGGCTATATGAGTGTGCTCAATGTCTGATTTCACATAGAACTACTGGTTTTCTGTCAATACGTTAATATACAGCCTATTATGATAATGCTGTCAATAAAAATGTGCAAAGAAAGAAGCTTTTAATAAATATTTTTTAACGTGCGTGCAGCGTAAATAAATCCAAACACCCCGTGACAGATTTAAGTTTCACTTTCGATCCGTGACCGACAGAGGAGCGTCTTGTCGGCAGGGATTTAAAACTTTAAAAATGTCTGGGATAAGAAAATCTAAAGATGCACACCATCAGAAGGATATTCTCCAAGGCTGGATTTAGCATCAGGAAAATCATGATCGCACTTCTGCCGGCCAACGTTAACAGGTTGGTTTTCCTCGGATCGTTCTAAAACGCTTAACGTGAAAAAAGCTTTTAAAACGCTTAAATGGCACTTTTACGTGCTTAATGTGCTTTAGCTACGTGCTTACTGCTTAGGCTACACACCTTAAGAAACCATTCCATGTGCAGATAAGCAGATGAACCCAGAATATGAACGCAACGCGTTTCTCCTATAGAAAGTCACGTAAAGCTTTTTCTTTAACGGTTTTCTATGGGAGGAAAATGCTTAACGTAGCCTATAATAAAACGCGTTGCGTTCATATTCTGGGCTCATCTGCTTTTCTGTAGGCTATATAATATGCTTTATTAATAAGGTGTGTACAGAATTTGATCTTTTAATATAACAGTTTTAGGACATTAAGCCGTTAAGCGTTTTTCACGTTAAGCGTTTAAGAATGTATTTTATCCGCGCACACAATTTGAAAAGACTCAAACGGACACAGGCCGAGTTAAAGACTGGATTTTGTTTTTTCGATCAGGTATGGGTACAAGTGATTTCAAAACATTTCAGCCGGTTCTAATTTGATTTTTGGATACTGTGAACACGTTTAGCTAAAGACTGCCGCTCCAGTTTAGCGTTTATTGTTTCTGCAGTTAAAAAGACAAAGTTGACAATCCTGGCCATACTTTCATTATTTTAATAATTTCTTTATTTTAATTTTATTAATTGATCACTCAGGGTGATCTAATTTAACTATTTGTGACTTGTGTTTTGAATATTTTTTCCCCTGCACTTTAGGCATTTTGCACACATTTGTTCTGCTTCCTTTGACTTGATTCTGACTTATTTGGTTTTGTATTTTTATTTATAAATGTATATTGTGTTCTTAATTGTTGATTATTTTTCAGTGCATCGATGTTGCGCTGTAGGCCTACTTAGAGCATGCTCGTACAGGCAATTCAGCCGATTTAATTTGATTTGCATGTGAAATGCAAATCTTATCTGCAGTGTGGCCTTTCTGCAGTTATTTATGTTATAAATAAACTAAGAAATTTAGAAAAAAAAAAGAAGTTAGAAATTTTTTAGTTTTATTGATCCAAAATGTTTTTTATACATTTTCTTCTATATCTTTGTGTGATGTTCTGTACATCGCGGCTTTAAAATGTTAAAGCCCCGCCCCCTCCCCAACACCACACATGATTCGACTATTAGTCGACTATAGGCAGGACTTGACGAATCTGATTCGACTATGAAAATCCTTAGTCGGGGACACCCCTAGTGCAGTGTGTAATTTTCAGCGGCATCTAGTGGTGAGGTTGTGAATTGCACCCAACAGAAGTTACGGTGGCCGACAGGAAGTGATGTCGTCATCTGAGACAGCAGAGAGTAGCCAGTTAAGCTATGAGGTTTCTTTACAAAGATAAATGAAGAAATTAGGTTTACTTAATTATTCAGTAAAACGATATGTTATTGCGAATATTATTGTTACTTGTTCATCATTGTGTCAGTGTTTATTCGCTGACTTTAGCTTGCTTCTTTGCATGAAGTACAACATATTGATGAAACGCGTTTGTCCGTTTTGGGCCACCGTAGAAACATGTCGATGTAAGGGGACCCGCGGTGTGTGTTGATAGAAATGGCTCATTCTAAGGTAATAAAAGTTAATTACCGTAAAACTTCAAATAGTAGCCCGGGCTTTTATTTTCCCAAATCGTCGAACTGCACCGGCTTGTATTTGAGACAGGCGTCTATATGAGACAGGCCTTTATAATTTAGTGTTGAGATGTTGTTCATTGAGTGTAGGCCTAGAGTCTCTAATCTCTAAAAATCCCCAAATGCTCCACGTGAAACTTCCGACCTTTTACTATCGTGTCAACTGATTTTGATTAATATGCGCGAGGGAGAGAGAGCAAGACAGCGCTCGTGTTGTTTGAAGACGTGAGAGTGCGCGCGGCTGGGGCGATCTCTCTCTCTGCTCGTAACGTCATTCTGTTCTACATCACTCATCGATCAAAAAAGGCTTTGGAGGGACAACAATTTGCGTTGGCGGCCGCCAAAAAGAGGACGATCTGACGGTTTTAGAAGATTAAATACAACCCGAAACTAAAAAGCAGACCCGACCTCTATTTGAGACCGGCCTTTATTTACCCAAACCTGCAGCCACACCAGGCGTGTAAAAGAGACAGGCGTCTATTTGGGACTCGGCTATTATTTGAAGTTTTACGGTAAGTAAGGTCTATATACACCACTGAAAACATAGTTATGTATATGATATTGCATTTCTGTCAACAGATCCTCCTAAATATTACACAATGCACCTTTAAAGGTACAATATGCAGGAATTTTCACCACCAGGGGTCGCTAACCTCTTACAATAACAAAGGCGTATATTAATGACGTATATTCCACATTAAGCGTAAGTATGGATCTTGTCGTCAAGCTGATGGATCTTTTATGGATGAGTGAATACATTGATGTTTTTAACATGACTGTGGTGTGAAGCAGGGCGCGATTGCTAGATGTACACCAGCGCCACACGCAACGCGAGTCCCGCAGATATAAAGGAATAAGGACATTTCATTCTACCGAACTACACGCAAGTGCTGAATTAATACTCACACAGGTCAGTTTATTAGGGGAATTAAACTTGAGGTAACGCAGCGCTGTTTCACTTGCTCTAACAGTTAACGTTACACTATCACACTAAATGCCATTTAAGTGTGTTGAATGTTGTTAGTTAGGTTGTTTGTTGGCTGTATGAGACTAAGCTAGATCAACATTAGAAGAACATACAGATCATAATCTAACATTTCATCATGTTGAACTAAATAACAACATTGATTAGTTTTATGTACATTTGCTCACCTGTCTAATAAAGTACGCAACACTCGCGTCTCTGTCGAGTCGAAGTTAGTCGCGGACGTGGAGCTCTCGGCTTCTCGAAAGATGTTGATCTTCGTTCTAGTCCTCTTTTTGTCTCAAAGTCTGCTTGCCATGGTCTATAATGTTTGAACAAAACAACAACAGTGTGTGCGTTTTGCTAAGCATAACCCAGTTGTCCAAGTCTGTCGCCATGGTTACTATGGCAGTGCGAGCGCAAACCGAGGCTAACGCGGATATGACGCCATTGACTGGCGACTCCTCACCCCTGCTCACACGCCCCGTTTCCTCGGTTAAAATCGCAATTTTCTCACAATTTACAAATAGTGGGAAACATTTGGGATATTGTAAGTAATCAACTAAACAAAATATATAACATTGGCCTAGTGGTTTTTGGATATTTTACTGCAAAAATCCTACATATTGTACCTTTAATTGCAGCCATCAAAATTTGTTTATATTTATACATTTGAATCTAATTTGGCCAGTGAAAACATTTTACTAAACTTGTCTTTGTACTTTCGTCAGTAAATAAAGGTTCAAGAGAATTAACAAATCACAGATTCTTGATTTTATTGCATTTTACAAAATGTCCCAACTTTGCTTGCTTGGCATTAATTGCATTGTATAAGTCGCTTTGGAATAGACGTCATTTCGCATTTTAGATGATAAAAAGTGACTTGTATTACAAACATTTAACAACATTTTTATTTTTTGGAATAGTATGCACAATTAGTTCACGTTAAGACCTGAAATGAGAACGTAAATGTGTTAAAACATCATGTTTAAGCTCCAAACCCTTCTGAAAATGTTGCGGGAACGTTCTATTAATGTTATTTAAAGAACCTTTTGTCTTAAAATCCCCCTGTCGTCAATAATTTAACCCTTAAAACTCATCTTTGATCACCAAAATGACATTTTTAAATGTTTTCTCCTTGAACATGTCTTCATGCCTTAAAATATCTTGAATGTAATTCGACACCCTTGCCTCATTTAGTATGTGCGGTTCTATGAATATGCAAATGAGCCCCGCCTCCACTCACTCACTCACTCAGAGATCCACTGGTTGACGATCACACGTTGATCTGATTGGTTACAAGGTCGTTTGTGACGTCAGAAACACCAGCGATTTCACACCGTGTGTTTGAGACTGTCTTTGGTTCACTGCAGTTTTAAGCAGAAGATACTCAGCAATGCTGTCGACTCATGATTTACACATTGTCTTAAAGCATATTAAAAACACCACATAGACACATAAACAACATTAAAAACTTGATTTTTAACACACACATAACCAAGCATTACTGAAAGATGTGTGGATGTTCTATAGGCCACACACACACACTCATGTCAGTATTCGCGTCGATTAAAGTCTTGTTTTAAAAGTGTGCGTGTGAAGTTTGCGAATGCAGATGTATAATGTGATGTTGGTGCGTCAGATCTTCCCGGATTAACCAACATCCTGAAAATGTCTTCAGCTTTAACCCCAGCACCTAATTTCTGATGCCCTCTCCTCTTTCTTCTCCCTCCAAAGTAAATAAACCTTCATCTGAAGCGAAGCAAATGCCTCTCCGACTCCCTAACCGCCGCGCGAGAGCGTTTTTATCGGTGTTTTTCTGTATCTACGGTGGCAGAGGGACACACACACAGACACACACACACACACACACATGGGCCTCGTCCCGGCGCTGGAGAATCAAGCCAAGCCTTTGAGGCCCGTGGCCACATGAACACTCATTTATTTCCCCGTCCAAAGCGAGGTCTGCGGGAAGAGGAGTGCGCCGCTCTCTGCCGCTCTCCCAAAAGGAAGATTATTTTAAAAAGAGGCCTATCTGCTGAGCCCGCACTTTTCCTGTATCAAACCCGCCTTTCAACAGCCGGTCCCGCTTTCAACATGCACTTTATGATGAGCTTTAGGCCTGTGAGATGCAAATGAGCCCGTGAGGAGCACCAGAACGACTCTGTGCTGTCGGGCTCCCGATAATCATGACTGACGTGTGACCTGCGCTCGGATTAGGGCTGGCCAATACATCCAATAAGCACCCTATATTTGTGATGATTTTAATACCGATATGTAAAATTGAGCAACATTGTGATTATCTAATGTGCAATTTTTTTTTATTTGTCCTAAATGTGTTATTTACCAAAATCCTGGTTTAGAGTAAAAACAGCTTTAGAGTTGGCAAGTTTGATTCATTACATGAATCCGTTCAAACCGTCTAAACCGATCCAATGATTCATGTGAGAAATAAATGAATATATATATATTACCGGTAGTGCTGTCAAATCGATTAATTGCGATTCATTTTTTTACATAGCATGTGTATATACATTTTATTGTATGTATATATATATGTATGTGTGTGTGTGTATACATATTACACATATTATATAAACAAAACATTGATTTTATTAATCGTGATTGATTGATTTGACAACACTATATTCACAATATAATTGAAAATATAAAATATTATATTTTGTGTTCATTTTGTCAAAACAGCAATATTTTTTAATTGTGCAGTAATTACGATATTACGCATTTAATTGTCAATTTCTGTTGAAATTATGGTTCCTCTGACTGAGAAAAGTCTGCATTTTTTGCCGTTTCAGGGCAAAAAAAATATAAATGAAATAACAAGATTTATTAATAAAAAAAAGAAATAAAAAAAATAAAATAAAATAATGTACAGCCCCCAAAAGTTTTTGTTTTTGTATCTTAAAAATGTCAAAACAGTCCATTAAGAGTGTTTGCATTGTACATGCTGTTGTTAATGCATTATAATGCATGCGCAGTAAAATAGGCCACTGTCCGCGAGAGGAATGCAGTGTTGATATGTCAGCTTACACAATAGCTTATAAAATATTTTAGTAAGCAGCTTTCAACTCTGGCCTTTGAGTCTTAAATGAGGCATTAGTTTCATTTCGCTCTACAAACCTTTTCATTTGGACAAACCTGTTTTTCTTTTCTTTCTTTTTTCCGGGACGGATGTGCCCTGGACTTGAACTCTGGCAGGATTTTTTCCCTTTTCCAAAGCCTGTGGCACCTGTACCAACCGCAGTACCATCTGCTTGGCATTCAGCGTCCAATAACACATTTCTGGGATAAACTCCGACACACACACACACACACACACACACACACACACACAGAGAGGTTGGTGGGCGGTGGAAAGGATGTGTGTCGACCGCTGGATTGGTCTGTTAGACACATTGTTTTAATTGCCGAAGCTGAAGATGCCCCAGCTGGGCTTTGGGAGTGAACGGGACAGTTATCCGGGGAGGTCGGGATGGGAATGTTTAGGAGGAGATTCTGTCCGGAGGAATGTGCTGTAACTCAGTCTCTAAATGAAGAGAATCAAAGAGTATGAAGGCGTTTGACCGGCCCTCGCTGCCCTCAGACGGAGGCCGCAGGTGTTTGGCAAGGGTTGTGTTTTCTGAAGGAAAAGCGGGATGTTTATGTCATCATTCCTGACTACGACTCATTCTCTCCCTACAAGCTGGAAAAGCAGAGGAACTCTAGCTAATGCACTTGCTGCTCCTTCAAGCTCCCGTTCTCACGTCTTACACAAGTGGCACAGAACGTCCTTTCTTCTGAAAAGCTCACTCACACTCTTTCCCATAGGATCTCTTATATATTCAAATATAATACAGTAAACTATATATATATCAATTATTATTTTATTTATAAATGCCGTTCTTTTAAAACTTCTAATCGTCAAAGTATATCAGTTTCCAACTGTTTTCTGACCACAAGCTTTTGGAATGGCAGTATTTAACAAACAAATCATTTTTGATAAACATCAATATTTTTATTCTGAAACGACAAAAAATTCACTTTTTTTTTTTCAATCGTAGGAACCATCATTTCAAACCTTACAGAAATTACTGCACAGTAAAAAAATGTTTAAAATTTTTTGATTATAAGAATATATAAGTATATATGTTTATATATAATTAAAACATAACTTAAATGAAATATCATTATTATATTTTTAAATTATATCATTTTTATATATATATACAGTGTATGTGTGTGTTATGTGTGTGTATATATATATATATATATACAAATATTTATATATATTTTAAAATATATAATTAATATAATAGATAAAAAAAATTATTAAATATATTAATACTGTAAATATGTATTATTTTTAAAATATGTATATATATATATATATATTTATATTACGTATTTATGGATATTAAAATATATGATACTATATTTAAAAAAAATATATGTATTTTAATATCAATAAAATGTCATATATATATATATATTGTAAATATGTATTATTTTTGAAATATGTGTATATATTTATTTATATTACGTATTTATGGATATTAAAATATATGATACTATATTTAAACAAAATATATGTATTTTAATATATCATATAATTAATATAATATATATTTTTTTGAGAAATCAACTATTTTAATTAAATATACTAATGTATAAATACTGTAAATATGTATTACTTTAAAAAGTATATAAATATATAGTTGTAAAATACTTGAATGAGATTGAATGTAGAACAACTGGAGAATCTCAGGCTTTCCTGCTTGTAATGTTGTTCTCCAGAGAAACCCCCGGAGTGACCAGACACGTGTGTGTGTGTGTGTGTGTGTTCTGCGTCAGACGAGATCTCGGCTCACACTGACACACTTCTCTATGATCTCAAACCAGCTCAGCGGAGGCCCGGATGAGTGTGTTGCTCCGTCATGTGATCTCTGATGCGTCTCGGAGATCTCTGACGTTTGTGGTCAATCTCTTCCCGTCTAATCACTAATTGAGAATGATATCCAAACACTTCCCGCTGTAATTCCAGCGCTGACCCAGATAGACCCGTCCGGGCGAGATCCATTTGATCCTTGATTAAATCTGCGCTCGCCGTCTGAGCTTTTAACACACAATCACCGACGAATGCAAGAGGCCGTCTCCTTACACGCCGCATTACAACCTTTATATGTAGATCTACATGTCAAGCACAGATAATAAAGTACAATCTCAAATCTGCTTTCTGGAGACGCGGAGAGTCTCCGGCTTAAAGGCTTAGTGTGTATCCTCATTGTGTCAGTATTAAGACATGTTAGCATTGTGTGCTTCAGAAATACACTTGTGCATTAATCTCGCTCTCCTCAGGAGGAACTTCCTCTTCCTCGTGTTGTTATTTCCAGGCTCTGAACAAGACATCATGTTAGTAATCTTCTGAAACCGCTAAATTTAAGACGTTTTCATTAATGATCTTCCTATCATGCGACGTTTACATTCTATTTTTAGGTTTTTTTTTAAAACTAGAACCGGAAGATAATACAATGCTGAATAAAGTCCTAGTTTTTGTTATTTTTGGACCAAAATGTATTTTCGATGCTTCAACACACTCTAACTAACCCACTGATGTCACATGGACTACTTTGATGATGTCTTTATTTCCTTTCTGGACAAGGACAGTATACCGTACATACATTTACAATGGAGGGACAGAAAGCTCTCGGACTAAATCTAAAATATCTTAAACTGTGTTCTGAAGATGAACGGAGGTCTGACGGGCTTGGGGCGACATGAGGGAGAGTCATTAATGACATCGTTTTCATTATTGGGTGAACTAACTCTTTAAGGTTCTTGAGGTTCATTGTAACCTCTGACTGATGAATTTACACCAAAACACTGTATAGTTTGATTAGTAGTTTTGATGCACAGTGTTTTATATAGTAACTAAATACATAAAAATCGGACCAACTGAAAATCTGGAGAATAACTGGAATAAACACTGCGTTGTTACAGGTGAAACTGGAAACACTAGAATATTGTGCAAAAGTTCATTTATTTCAGTAATTCAACTTAAAAGGTGAAACTAAGGGTGTATTCACACCTGCCTTGTTTGGTTCGATTGAATCGAGCTCTAGTTCGTTTCCCCCTTTGGTGTGGACCTTTTGGGCAGGTGTGAATACAGCAATCGAACTCTGGTGCGGACCAAACAACCGAACCGAGACCCAGCTGAAGAGGTGGTCTCGGTACGCTTCCAAACGAACTCTGGTACGGTTCGTTTACGGTGTGAACATGAACCGACCCAATTGCAAGAAAGCACTGCGCCTTTGAGTTAACAGGCTTCCGTAGTCGGAGTTGCGTTATGGGAAAGTGATCTGTTGTAGCCTACATTACATCTGTTGCGCGTCTTTCTGCGCGTCGTGTGTGTGCGTCATTGGATTGGAATGAATGAATGAGTGTGTGCAACAGGACATTCACATACAGAGCGTTCTCTTTAGTCTAATCGCTCATAGATGCAAAAAAAAAAAAAAGCATTTGCAGTTCATATAATGTAACGATAGTTACTTACAATACAAGGATGATGCTGCGTTCATTTACGTTAAGCCTTTTTTGCACTTTCTGATTTCCCTTGAGAATCCTTGTCCAATGAATGGACGACCTTAGCACACGTGTGGTTTTGTTTACAAATTTTGGTTCACTTGCAAAAAGAGCAGTGTGAAAGCGAACTGTACCAAAAAAAAAAATATATATATATATATATTTATTTGGTCCGGACCAAAGCAAGTGCACTATCGGACTTTCCTGGTGTGAATACACCCTAATATATTATATAGACTCATTACATGCAAAGTGAGATATTTCAAGCCTTTATTTGTTATAATTGTGATGATTATGGCTTACAGTTTATGAAAACCCCAAATTTAAAATATTATGAAAAGGTTTTCATAAGCTGTAAGCCATAATCATCACAATTATAACAAATAAAGGCTTGAAATATCTCACTTTGCATGTAATGAGTCTATATATATTAGTTTCATCTTTTAAGTTGAACTACTGAAATAAATGAACTTTTGCACCATATTCTAGTTTTTCCAGTTTCACCTGTATGGCATTTTTTGCATTTATCGTGGCACAGGCATGAGATCCCGTTTGGATCGTGGGACTTGCACACACTCGGTCCGGTTTATATTTAAGTGAACAGAAGTGAATGAACAGTTGTAATGCTGTCATGCGTCTCTGAGCCGATTGGATCCTCTAAACTCAGGAGGATCGGCTGGGAACCCCACACTGTTGCCGGTATTGATTACCGCCGTATTTCTGCATGAATCTGTGTGAAGTTTCCACAGCGCTCTCTGTTTCCACAGCTGTGGTCACATGTGAAGCCTGTGCTTATGTTTCTCTGCTTATGGTTCAGTTATTAATGCTGCAGCAGGGGCGTCACTAGGATTTTCATTTTAGGCGGGCTAAGCCCCCAATATGACTTTTTAAAAAAAATTATAAAAAAAGGTAACACTTTAGTTTAGGATCTAAAGCTCACTATTAACCATTTTCATTACCATGCAAAGGCACGGTTTTATAATAACTGTGGTCCCAAATGTGAGATAGGGCAAATACGGGGGTTTCGGGGTTTTCCCGAGAAAATTTTGGTTTCTCTGATCTACATATGTGCATTTTAAGATGTTCTGAAGGCCAAAAAACTTGGATAGTGGGCAGCTGATTATTTTTCTCTCCTCATCAGCATCACACTCTTTTTCTCTTTGTTTTTATCTTGCCCAGCTGAACTTTGACTGATATAGGCTTTTCATTTTTGTCTGTCAGTGAAGAAAGTAAACATAGGGTCAACTGATAGGTTGATTTTGCCTATGAATCATTTTCTCAGACGCATTTATTTACTGAAAGCTACTAAAGGTAATTAAGTTTATTAAATGTATTCACAATATATAGGCTACACATTCATTATTGATCTTATGCCTAATACAGGGCCGTAGACAGGGCTTTATAATCACAGAGGTCCTAAATTTGAGGTTGGTAGGGGGTTCAAATTTTTTATTTCTCTGATATGTGCATCTCAAGAAGTTTGAAGACCAAAAAAAGGATAAGAAATAGCTTTAAAACCATGTCAGTGGGCAGTAGATTATTTGTCAATACCTGCTCTCTTCTCATCTCCATCACTCTTTCTTTTTTTCTCAGTCTCTTCGTCCCTTTCTCTTCCACTCCTAAAGCTGAGCTTTTTTAATTTACTAAAGGCTACAATTTGTATTATATCCTCAATATGTACACATTCATTATTAATCTTGTGCCTAACATGATGAAAACGGCTTTGTTAATGTTTCTTGTAAACTAATTATTACATTACATGAGTCACGTTACATAGGCCTATTTTCAGTTCAAAATGGCGAAATTAGACAAAACTATATTAGTTTGCCTGATTATTTTTTGTCATTCGTTTAACATTTATGACCTAAAAAAAAGTAAAATATGAAATGTTAAGTTTAGCTACTTACATCTTATCTCGCACTTGACCGTACGCGTCGAGTCGCACTGTTAAAATTCGCGCTCAGCGTCTGTGAACATAAAGCCCGCCTACTTTGATTTGATTGGTCATCTCAAATATTCTGACATTGAAATATGGCTGAAGCCCCCCTAAAAAGGGCCTAGCGACGCCCCTGTGCTGCAGTCTGAAAAACTAGTTTCCACTACTGTGGTTTACATGCCTCTGAATAACTGAAAAAATCACACTTTTACAAGTCTATAAAATTACTGAAAAAAAGGTCTATATATATATATATATATATATATATATATATATATATATATATATATATATATAATTTCTAGATCTGCCTCTAATACATGTGTGTGCCCCAAGATAAATGTAAATGTTCACGATTTTTTGTGCGCTGTTTGTTTTCTGTTATTAACTTTTGAATCAAATTTCTGTTTATCTTTTATTTGTTTAGTCACACTCAACTTATGGAACAATTTGGGGGGGAAAACACAATTTTAATCATTTTAAGAACCTCTAAAACTTAGACTAAAAGTTAGGTAAATCATCTACTATAATATAATGAAATATTCTTATCTTTATTTTTATTTATTTTCAAATAATATATATATATATATATATAGAGAGAGAGAGAGATTCTGCTCAACATTTGACTTTTTGGGGGTTGAATAATTTTTTACATGTTTAAGAGCCAATTTTTTTTTTTTTTTTGAGAACTTTACATTCTCATTATCACTCGCGTGTGTATTAAACTCTCTGATGTAGTTACAACATCTGCCAGCAGGGTTTAACCAGACTAGTTAGCGCCCCAACAGAATCAATTTTCGTGTTTTTTTTTTTTCCTAATTATGTTTTGAATTACACTTCTGTTGTTATATGAGCAATATTGGCATGTCAGATTTTTTTTTTCCGATTTAATTTTTTTTTATTTTCAGCATTAAACACTAAAGAAATCTCTAAGTGAAGAAGATGCTGTGGCACTTTTTTTCATATTGAGTCACTTTAGGACTACATCTTGAAGATCTTCAAATCCACCAGGAGGCGCTGCAGCCAAACAGGAAGTGATGCGTTTCTGTCCCCAGGATGATTGGCTCATTGATATCAGTTTCCTGACTCACCTGAACAGCATCAGTAGTTTAAAACACGTTCTTGGATGAGCGTTTCATAACAAGGGAATGGTTTTATAGGTGATCTGTGCTCTTAGTCTCATGTTTGTGTTTGTGAAGATGATCTGAACCTCTAGATTTCCTCTGACAGATGCAGGATTGGCCTGGAAACCTCTTTCCTCGAGTCTGTAACTCTGCACCAATCCACATCTTCACATGGGTGCTGATATTTCTGTGGTTCACAGGAAGGTTTGGGTGCAGGTGTGTGAAATAACACACGTCAGACCTCTTAAAGAGACGCACACGAGGCCTGTGTGTGTGTGTGTGATCCACCAATACAACCATATTAAATACTTCTTATAAAAAAAGCCATAACCATGCATTGAAACCACAGATGACATTAATGGATCAGTTAAACTGATGATGATCCAGATGCAAACTACAGATTCTGATCACGGTGATATTTATCATCAGGTTTTTCCTGTTAGCTTTCGAAAATTAACCCACCTTTTAATTTGATAAACTTTGAGCCACATCAAACATCAATTTCAATCAGACTGCATCAGTTTGCGTTGATGTGTTTGACAGATGAAGTTGCAGGTGTTTGGGAAAGTGCTGTCGTTGCTTTTGCTAAGCGTTTGAGGAGAAAATATCAGCTAAAGTCGTGTTAACAAACACATTATACTCGATTATTACCAGAATGTGTTTGTTACTCTGGTTTGAAGGGCTTAGAGAAAGATATGTGTGAGGGGCTGAATCTTAAAGGGTTAATTCGCACAAAAATTAATTTTCTGTCATCTTTTACTCGCCCTCAAATTGGGCTCCATTGAGTTTTTTCTTCTATACTATGGAAGTCAATGGGGACCAAATTCTTCAAAATATCTTCCTTTGTGTTCAGCTGGAAAAAAAATAAAGAAATTCATACATATTTGGAACAACTTTATGGTGAGTAAATGATGACAGAATTTTAATTTTTGGGTGAACTGTCCCTTTAAGGTCACTCACACACTCTACAAAATGCTGGGTTGTTTTAATCCATGTTTGGGTCAAATCCAACCAAATTTAAACCAATGGTTTGTCCATATTTGACCCAAACATGGGTTGAAACAACCCAGCATTTGTTAGAGTGCACCAAGGATGAGAACTATAAAGATGTAGTTCTATAACTATATAAAAGAATAGCAGCCCACAACACAACTATGACGGCACAGAGAAATTATATACAGTAATTGTAATCGCTTTCAGAACTTTTTTGTTCCCCAGCTGATGAACAATAAAAACATTGACAGCCAATCAGAATCCATCCTGCTTTAAAGAGCGCGAGCGTTAATATTGTTATCGCTATAGTTATCTTTTTAGTTATCGTTCTTGGTGTGAACGGGCCTTAAAGCGTAAAATTTAATTTAACAATTTTTTTTTGCTTTAGAAAGCTGAAAGCATTTGAATGTTGCATTAGCAATTCTGTTGTCTTATAAATGTGAAACAGCAATATTGAAACTGTTCCCCACATCAATTTCTTGTTTTTTTTCTATTCTTTAACAAATTTATATGAATACTGTGCTGACAGTATTCTTATTATTAATGTAACCATCCACAGATTCACATAAAAAAAAAAAACTTTTTTTCTCTATAAAAAAATTCAAGTGACCCAAAGTTGGTGCTTTCCGCGGTCGGACGCGCGCACAAATATGCAATAATTGTAAAAAGTCGAACCAACGCCTTCGCGCTCTCGATCAGACGGTGAAGCGTTTAATGCGAGGTTGTGTCAGTGAAAGTTGTGCTTCTCCGCGCGGTATTCCGGAGTGTGTTTGTCTGAATGAAGCGCTCCTGCAGTAGCCGCACTGAAGACGAGCTGAGCGATACTTCACCGTCCGTCCTGTCAATAACACACTCCACGAGCGGCACGAGTGTTCGTTTAATCCCCGATCGCACTCAGTTATTGATCGGCCGTGTTGAATCGGATTGTTGAAGCCGCGCGCCGGAGGGACACTTGGAGAGACTTTCTTCATCTTGAACGTGTGATCGCGTTACCGGACACCTGCGCGTCCACTTCACCTGGTGGAAGAATGATCCTCTGATCCACAGTCTCTTTTTCACGCAGAGTGGATTTTTTGGGGCTCGATCGTGCCGTGGGTCCGTGTGTGCGTGTGCTTGTGTGTGTGTGTGTGTGTGTGTGTGAGAGAGAGAGCGCGAACGCGTGCGCGCGCGTGTGTGTTTCTGAAGATCAGACACGCTCCTCCTGATCGGGTGTTTTCTCATTGCGATCTGTTTCCATGTTTTTAGGTTTATGTGATATTTCTAAAAATGCATCATCACCATCATCATCACCATCATCATCATCAGAGAATGGCCGCGTTAGGGACGGATAAAGAACTGAGCGATTTGCTGGATTTCAGCGCGGTAAGTGACTTTACGTCTCCATGCTGCAGGTCAATGATCACACTTTGTTTGGTTTTGTCACATTTCATTGTGTTTCTGTGCGCAGATGTTTGTGTAGAAGTGTTGTAAGATGACTTTTTTTGCGCACTGACCGTGCCGCGTAATTGCATTTGATATGTGAAAGAAAGTTGCAAAAGCTTATGTGGATTTGATAGATGTGATGTTGCATTAGTAATTCTGTTGTCTTATAGATGCGAAACAGCGATTTGAAAATGTTCCCCACATCAATGGTAGTATATCCCACTTTATTCAGTCTTTTCTTGTGTTTTTTCCTTTTCTTTAATATAGAGTATTATGAATGTTGTGTTGACCCTTTAAAAAAAAAAAATCCTTAAGGAATTCTAATGGAATTTCTCGTGATTATATTCTAATGGGATCAAATGCAGTTCTACTCGAATTGAATTCTGAAGACTGGAAGAACCAAATAAAAGATTCTTGTTTGATCCCATTATGATTTCTTCCAAATGCTGACAGAAATCCCATTAGCATTCCTTGATGATTCTGAGATTAGAGTTGATTCTAGTGGACTGATGATGTCTTCATCTGGTTCAGTGTCAAAAGTAATAATAATAAATAAATAAAAAAGGCTAAATGTGCATCCTGTGAGAAATGCTTTTGGGAAGTTTTCACTCAGGAAATGTGTTTTTATGAAGCCACAGTTGCACAAATATTCCAGCTGTCCGACACACAGACAGTCGAGGGCTGAACTGGCATCCAGGCTAGTTTATGTGCTTGTGTGAATTTGAAATTTGGCTTGGTTTTGATTTTGCAATCGCATTAGAGGGTTATATTATTCATCAAATTAACAGTAAGATTATGCATGCATTTATGATGTCAAACAGTGCATAATGTTTTGCTCAGACTGAATCGTAATATTGCAGGGAATAGAAATGCCTTTAACCTGTGTGTGTGTGTGTGTGTGTGTTGTATTCTCTCATTCAGGGCCGGTTTGTGGAAGTTTTTAATGTGTTGTCATGATTGTTTTGTAGATGTTTTCCCCTCCTGTCAGCAGCGGGAAGAACAACGGACCGACGTCTCTGGGAAGTGGACATTTCTCCGGCTCAAGTATGTCATATGAAACACAAGTGTGTTTTCTGAGGTGTGGAACGGCCTCTGTCGCTGTCACAGAGTGATTATGAGCTTGGTTTGAATATGCAGTGTGTGTGTGTGTGTGTGGGGAGATATTAGTGACTTTGACCTGGCAAACTTCTTCTTTCGGTGTGTGTGTGTGTGTGTGTGTGTGTGAGAGACATGCAAGTCACAGTTCATGTGCTTTGAGATGCGAGTTTGATTGTTGTGTCATGACTGTGTGTGTGTGTGTGTGTGGGGAGATATTTGTGACTTTGACCTGGCAGACTTCTTCAGGTTTGTGTGTGTGTGAGAGACACATGCAAGTCACAGTTCACGTGCTGTGAGTTTTGATTGTTGTGGCACGACGGCGTTCGTCTTGTTTTCTGTACAAACACACACTCGTGCGACACACACCTGCAGGGTTTGAGTATTGTTAAAGTGCATGTTTTATAAAACGTGCCGTTTTTTTAGTCTGATTTGTGATTTTAATTCCGTCTCTGATGAATGTTTCCTGCAGGGAAAAGAAGAAAAAAAAAAGCGGCGGCAAATAAATAAATAATTAGAAGCGACAAAAAATAAATGACCTTGACCCCGGCGGAGGATTCGGGAAGAAAAGCCACGGAAACCAGTGCAACATATGGGACACGCTGCTCATTCCTGTGCACGCTTTTCACACGGCATGCATTTGTGTTTTATCCCAAGCATTGATATCGTGATGTGAAGCACAGATGGAGGACTGCGAGTGTGTGTCAGTGCAGTCGGTGTCGTGGCCCAGTGTGTCTTCATGTTTTCAATGGCTGCTATTGTTTTCCTCAGACTTGAGTGTTGTTTAGGGTTGGTAATTTGCATGCCGCCCCCTTCCCCCTTCTTTGCCCCTCGGTTCCTGCGCTTTCGCCTGGATTGTGCCGCAGTTTTACTCAGTTGGAAAGTCGGGCAGAAGGACGGAGGGGGGCCTCGAAAATACAGCGAGTCTGTTGCCATGCGACTTGCCATGCATTTGGCTTCCAATCACTCGGAAATGTTTCATAAAGTGTGAATCGTTGAGGAAAAAACGAGAATAAATGAAATAAATAACACGCAACTCATGAGAACGTGTGGGCACGGCGCTAAATTTATGCATTATCTCTCTCGGTTTTGAAGCGTGCCCGTTTCCCGTGCCAGTCTCTGGCGTTTGAGAGGATTCGGCTAACGGCTGATAGGCCCGTGCGTTTGTTCTGGTAACAGCCGTGGCTTATTAAGCCACGTTGAAAAGTGGGGTTATTTTAATAACGCGTGGAGAGAGAAAAAAGCCGCTGCTATTTGCATCGCTCTGTTTTGGTTATGCCTGTCAGTCAAACGCCAGCGATTGCATTAAGCGCAGAGATGAAGCGAGAGAAGAAGATTTCTCCTCCCACCATCCAGCACCTCTCCGAGAGTCTTTGTCTTTCTCTTAGCGCGCAGAAAAGAGCCGAGGCGGAGAGAGGGAGACATGCGGAGGAATATCAAACCCTTTAATTGTGCTTGAGATTAGGAATTAATGAGCGTTTTAGCTTGTAATAGCAATATTAGTGCTACAATTTGCCATCTAATGCTAATAATGAGGCGGCGTGTAATAGGCAGGTTTTCAGGCCTCTGACTTCTTCAAAATGTTACTCTAAAAATAATGTCACTCCAGCAACTTTTCAGGACTTCTCCCAGTGCTACACTATTATTTCGGGTGAAATGACTCCATATTTCGGGTCTTTGCGTCTCGTTCGCTCTCACGGTGACCCTGCCAGGTTTGACATCAGTGATCGTCACTGTTCATGAATGGAGGAGATGATTTTCAATGAATTGTGACTTAAATTTGAGTCTGTTCTTCAGTCTCGACTCGAGTCATATAGAGTAGACTACTGACTTTTTGTTATTTTTGCCTTCAGGTATTGTACATGTTCAGCTACCTTTTATGATTTTTTTCATATTGTTGTACAGTGGTTAGAGGCGTGTTTTAAGGCTCAAAATGTGGGTGTTTATTTACAATTATTATTAATTTATTAATAATTTATACATTTTTATTATGTAAAATACATATAATTATCATTTTAATGCTCGTAATAATATAATGAATCTTAAAAATAAATAAACATTATATATATAAATATTTATATATATGTATATTAGGGCTGTCAAACGATTAATCGCGATTAATCGCATCCAAAATAAAAGTTTGTGTTTACATAATATATGTGTGTGTACTGTGTATTATTATTTTTAATACATAAATACCCACACATGCATGTGTATTTAAGAAATATTTGCATGTATATACTGTATATAGACTGAATGTAGCCTATATATAATGTATATTTTATATAAATATAAACATTTTATATATAAATAACATATTTTTCTTAAATATATACATGTGTGCATTTATATACAAGATAATTATACACAGTACACACACATATATTATGTAAACACAAACTTTTATTTCGGATGCGATTACTCGTGATTAATCTTTTGACAGCCTTAATATATATATATGCTCATTACATGAATATGAGCATTTATATATGTATCATGTATGTATATATACATATTTAATGTATTTAATTATTACAATTATAATATTAAATATTAATTAATTGTTATGTAATATACATATATAATTGTATTTTTTAATGCTCATATTCATATAATGATCCTTAAAAATAAATAAATAAAAAAATTTAAAAAAATCTTGATATATATTATAAAGCTTGGCATTGAAAATCCTCCGAATCAGGATAAAAGTCACTGCATTGTTTCATGTATGAATTATCATGTTCTCTTCATTTCTTTGCGTATGGAAAAATCATCATTGTTAGTGTCAGATAAACAGTAAACACACTTTGACCGTGTGCCAGTAAATCTGTATGAATCTTCATGCAATCATATCCTGTAAACGTTGAGTGCACGTGAAATATGAGGCACCCTTGTCTGACTTGTATCATTTTGGCCACTTGAATTGATCATTTTCTCCAAACGCTGTATTAGCATCAATGCTAGGAAGGCTTCTGCTTTATTATTAGCTTATGTCTCCAGACGTCACTGGAGAAAAGCTGCCAAACGCCAGTGTTACGTCAGCGCTGTGCGTCGGAGAATAGTGTGTTTGTGTTTGTGCAGTCAGAACAGTGTGTGAATCCTGAGATGACCTTCCTCTTGTGCCGTACCGATGTCAATACATGCACAGACTAAACACGCATCTCCACTTCATCAGTCCTGATCACGAGTACCTTCAGTTCCTGCTCCTTTTGTTCTGATTTTCTGGCCTCTGACTGCATTTGACAGCATCTGTCCCAAACTCACTCTGTTGCTGAAAGTAAAAAAGATCAAAATGCCACCGAAAGTGCTAAAAATGCCCTAGATATTTCAAATGGGGAACCAAAAAAAAAGAGAAAAAAAGCCACATAGTGAATTTGATATATTTCATAATATTCAAGATTATACACTACTTGTCAAATGTTTGGAATTAAATTTTTAAAAATGTTTTAAAGAAGTCAACGTTATAATAATCAGAAATGTTTCAATTCAATTTGTGAAGGATCATGTGACACTGAAGACTGGAGTAATGATGCTGAAAATTCAGCTTTGATCACAGGAATAAAATACACTTTACTATATATTCACATAGGAATCCGCTATTTTACATTGGAATAATATTTCACAATTTTTACTGTATTTGTGATCCAATAAATGCAGTCCTGGTGAGCATAGCTCTTTCAAAATCGTAATTTTTCCATATTTTCGGTAATACATTATATTTAATTTGATCATATTCTCACGGTCATATTTTTATTTGAAAGAGAAAGCTTTTATAAAGGTTAAAATCAATTCCGGGTAAATATTCCCTTTATTAAAAGTGAATTATTTGAGCATCAGATCGTCCCTCGGCACAATCGCTCCTCTTGTTTTGAACTGGTCTCGTCCCCCAAAAAAGCAGCTAAAAGCTCGTCGTGTCCTCCAAAGTTACATCAGCAGAGTTAGTTTCCCAGCATGCCTTTGGCTGGTTCTCTCTCTGTTGACATTGTTGTGTCCTGTAGCCACTTCCTTTGTGATTAAACGTCTGTGTTTGTGAATATGTTTCTTGCTCTTTATCTCTGCGCTGCTTTGATAAGGCTGGTCTGGGCTCTCACACACTGCTTGTTTGACCTGGAAACGGGCTCTTAAACCCATTTGTGCTTGAACCGTCGAGGAAGGGTGCAGACGCAACACTCTCTGCATGTTGATTAGCGTTTACATCACGCAAGGAGACGATGCTGCGGTTTATGAAATCAAAATTCATGTTCCTAGTCTTTCTGTGAATGATCATCAGTACGGTATTAGAAAGAAAATAACACGTAATAATTGGCTCCGCCTCTGAAACCACTTTCCTTTCCATCTGATGTCAAGACAGCAGCATGGTCCGGCCCAGATCCGGCTCACATCCGTTACATGTGGATTTCACACGGCCTGGTGAATGTGGGCCGACACTGTTGCTATGAACCTTTAGCATTAAGGGTTTTCTGTTAGAACGGTGTCGCGTTAGCGGCCCCTAAGTTAATAACTAATGATCTTTGCAATGGAAGTGAATCAATCAAAACTAACTTTATCTGGACAATAACTTTATTCTAGAGCTGCTGTAAAGCCAAAACAATCTGTTACTTTAATTTCCTGTTATCACTGTAAAGCTGCTTTGAAACAATCTATATTGTTAAACGAGCTATATAAATGAGGATGACTTGACTTGACTAGTTGACTAGAGTTGACTTGACTAGTTGACTAGAGTTGACTTGACTAGTTGACTAGAGTTGACTTGACTAGAGTTGACTTGACTAGAGTTGACTTGACTAGAGTTGACTTGACTAGAGTTGACTTGACTAGTTGACTTGATTAGAGTTGACTTGACTAGACTTGACTTGACTAGAGTTGACTTGACTTGAGTTGACTAGACTTGACTTGACTAGAGTTGACTTGACTTGAGTTGACTTGACTAGAGTTGACTTGATTAGAGT